TGGAGGTGTTGTCCATCAACATTAATTGAGAATGTCGCCTTGCCATTTCTTCGCGCATTGCTTAGGTAAGATTGAATTGTGCTTCATGAGATGCTGTCGGATACACCCTTAGAAGCAAGTAGTTTTGGTTGTCCCTGTAGTACTTTACATGTTTCACTATGAAAGTACAAACACAAAACCGAGGACTGAACTTTCAGTCAGTGGTGTAGAAGTCCATGAATAGTTAGAGTGCTTCGTGTTCCGAGGGCAGGTGGTAGTCCACCGGCAGAGGTATTATGCCAACCTGGATAACGCAACTTTGACCATGCATTAATTGCGCAAAGACTTAAGGTTAAGGGTTAAAAGGAAATTGTTGCCTACGATGTGTACATTGAACCGATTGCAGCACAAAGGGCGTGACAGCAGCTCATGAATTCCAATTCATCCTCAACTAGGTAATGTGTGAGGTAATGGCGAAGGCGCGATTTGTAGTTGGTGTTGTTCGGTAATGCCCTCATGCTTATGAGATAATGCTCCATGAGAGAGACACTTTCTTGTCGAATTTATGGTCCAGAAAGCCACAAGCGAATGTCGGTGAACTTGGTGCAAGCCTACGAGACTAACAATGGGGTTTGCCTCCCCAAACAGAGACAAAGCGAACCTTGTGCGATGTGACTACAAGAAAGGTGACGAAGCTGCCCCTGCTGTTACCACTACTAACACCAATGTCACCATTGACCACTGCTGTCTCCTCACGGGTTTAAACCCAATTCGGAGTATTTCTCCACAAGTGTCCAATGATGGGTTTGACTCGGTGGAGGCAGCTTGGTTAAGTCGATCTTCGAAATCATCTTTTTAACTACCTTTGCCTTTTCCTCCACACCAAACTTGTTACGTCCTACATCTCGGCTTGGAGAATGAAGCTTGCTATTGCTAAGAACAGAAGGCCTAATTAGAATACAATCTGGTGGATGTGACTTATGAGCAACGAATACAGGAATGGTTTTTTCTCCCCTGAAGTGTTTTCATAGTGCAGATCCGTCACGGGTTGGATAGAGCCGCCCATATTCAGTTCGAATTGTTTCAAATTCCAAAGGATTGAACAATGGTTAGGTCTCAAGAGGTGGCTGTCATTTGTGAATTTGTTCGATGGAAGTGCTATATCCAACTTTCGTGTCGTCCTGCTATCATTGTTTGGCATTTTACTCGCTTCTAGATATTCTCGGCAAATCCGCACTTAGAGGAAATTGCTCGCCCTCAGTGGGAGGACTCACACCTTTTGCTGGTATTTGGAATCCTCCACTGCCCTCACTGTCAGCTCGGGAGAGGAATAATTCTATTAGCTTAACAGTTCCGACCTGAATTGATGAGGTAGCTCTCACCTCCACTGAAGCCTTGCATCTCGACTCAACGATGAGTGCGCAAATCTACTCTCCATTTCCATCGACCTTTCCTACCTGAATTTGAGAGCTACGAATTGCGTAACCGAAATGACACCACTTTTTATGCAATTACATTTATCATGAAATCGCTTTACGGGTGTGTTTTCTGTAACGTGAGATGTTGAGACCCTATGCAATGCAATCGCTAGGCTTTGAGTGTAGCCATTCAAGCACTTAACCAAGCGATTAGTGAACCCGCGCCGCCAATCCCCAAGGCCGCTTGTCCCATTACCGTCAAAGGAGGATAGGTCAGTGTCATTTCCATGCACGTAGATTGCTTGAAAAGCCATAGCATATTGCTCGAGAGAGTATTAGATTGCGAGCTTGCGATGCGTCAAGGGAGAAGACTGTCGTCTGATGGAATGAAATGTTTGCCAGCAACACGTGGTGAAATGAGAATTTCGGCTGCGATGAAAGACTCCATCAAGCTCTCTCAATTTCAGTAGCCTCATTTGATTTGCTCCAACTGGTGAGATGATAATAATGCCAGTTGCAGTACCGATCCCATCCAATTCGGAGGCTGATGCTTTTGGTTGCACGTAGTTGCATTCAGGACATTAGTGTTTTGCATTACAATTTGCTTATTGCTTCACATTAACTGCGGTGAAATTGCTTGACAGTGATAACATGAGTGTGATGATGACCCACTATCACCATGGTTCCTTGACTTGAAATGAGGCGGCCTCCAATTTAGTGCCCACTTACCCCCTCATGAATGGTTAAAAAGTAAATAAGGAGACGGGTTAATGTCCACCCACTTTACTGTAAATGAACAGCATCTCCGGCGTCATTACTAACATTGTCATCACTCCCTTCGGCCTTTCAAGTTGGCGGTGCCGGAGTGGGATTTACACACCCCTGTAAGTTGCTCTCATCCTCCCCTATTCTCGCGTTTTTACCCCCTTTCCTTTCCCTCCATCATTGCCGTCGTCGCATATCTCCTTTCCTCACCCCAGAATCAAAACCATTCTTATTAGGTAGATTTTCTGACTCCGCTATCGTTTTCCCTGTTAACAACCACTTTGTTTTTTCCATCGCCAGGGATACGATTCAATAATGACTTTCTTTAAATTGAACTGTTGCCTTTACCTTTTACCAGAGCGAAGTCATGTGGAATCTCATTTCATTAGCATTGGTGGCTTGGATGGGAGGAGAAGATGGTGGCAGCATGTGGATTCGATTTGTCCTATCATCCGCTACTTTGAAGGTCAGCATCGGAGTAGAAGGTGGACTCCATAGTAGCCAATCATGTTTTGATGCACATTTAAGCACATCCGCTGCCTTGCTAACGTCCACATGGCATGCAGTGATATTTTTTTTTGGGAGGGGAATCATCCTAACAATGTTCCGCGCGATACTCCTTATTCTCCGTGGTTTGTTCTTCACGTCAGCAAAATGCCTTTCCAATACGTCTAGTCTCTCGGCCTTTTCACTTATGATCAGTTTCATTCAATTCTTTTCCTTACTAGTGTTGCGTTTTTAAAACAAATCTGCTGTTGGGAGGAGGTGACTAATGCTTTGGAAAGGGGCAACTTACTTGAAGTTGATGTTATGAGTCTGTAACAATACCCTTGTAAGTGGGGTGAGAATAGGTTTCTGTTTCACAAAAGTTCTCCCACGTTAGCATGTTTTATTTGAGGTAAACAACATCAACACCTCCTGACATCATTGTAGAAGACAGAGAAAAGGGCAAAATTGCGTGGTAGTAATAAAAGGTACACTTGAGGTTGAATGGAAACCTGTCTCGGGATTTCATTGGTGACTTTGTCGTCATTGGAATGTGATTAGTCGGACGGCCTATTAATGCAGAGTAGAGTAAACAAAAGCGCTTTATGGATTCTCATAATTTTTCTGCAATCTCCACTCCCGTTGCCACCTTCGAAGGTCTTGAACTTCATCCTGTTTTCTCACCTTAATCAGAGAAAATGATGCATTAACTCATGGTGCATGGTTTACGTAAAACTTCATAAAACAGGCCTAAGAGACAAGCAAATCTTTGGAGGTGGCGACCAAAAAATAAACTGGAAAAGGCAAATTTGGCTTTTGCGAAGCGATCAAAATGGGTTGGCTTGGCTGCGAACATGCCGTTTCATCATGCATTTCGCACCCATCGCGACAACTTGGAAAACAGAAAAACTTGAGTAAACAAGTGCGAGTGAAAAGTAAGTCATGCATTAACAGCAAAACTAATGGGAAAACCTCAAATGTCTGTTAGTATTAGTCAAGTGCAACCACATGTTTAAGGTGGATTTGCAAAAAGATGGCTACCGAATATCCTCGCCAGTACTTTTGAATGATGGTAGCGGCCTCTGAACGAGTCAAGTGCCAACTGAGTGGAAGTGGTTTTCGAGGATGCGACTTCCAGTATTCAGCGACCCAATTAATGTCTTCTAGGCTCTTCACAGTATCAATACGCTCCGGCTTTGAAGGGTTATTTCGGTATAGTTCAAGCGTTAGGTAGTCGAGGGCATTAAAAGAAGAATGAGGTTTCTGAAACACCCAACAATGCATTACAGCTAGTGTTCGATTTGAAAGGCCCTACTCGTGCATAAATGCAAAGGACAGCACAGTCCCAAATTTTAAATCTTTATGTGAATTCAATGCCGCTCTCTGGTGAAATGATGACATAAAACAGTTCCAACAATTGAGACTGGAAGCCCGACTTAACACTCTTAATGAATGCATGAATACCTATTTCAAACCCTATGCAATTACTCAGTAAACGCTTGTCGTTATTGCTATTTGGTTCCACCCGCTGTTTACATCCCAATTTTCTAAGCGAAGATATTCTGCTAAGTCTTCATAGATAAGGAATAGATGTTTAACTAGGTGAAAGCACTTACTAGAAGAACATCTTTGGCTACGACCTGGGCCAATAGGCAACGCAAAATTGGTTCAAGTGTTGTAAGCAACTGCAATTTAATGTATTCGGAAGGCATAGTTAAGTCAACTACTGAGTGAGTAAGCTGAAAGGAATGATTTACCGGGGCGATCTTTAGGTGAATTTGCACTTTCGTGATTGGTAGACTCCTGTGATCTTCTGCATATTTTTAAGAGAATGTCCACGGGAAGGAAATGGATGCTACCCATGGTTTTGTAGCTAGCTACAACATTAACAGCAGATTTTGCACTTGTTTACGCAAGGCAAAACAAGCTGTGCATAATTTTAAAGTCAAGTTGAAATTAACTGTTTACAATAACTGGAAAAACATTTTGTTCTGATAGAAGAGCAGAACCTGCTGTGACAGAGGAAACGTTACTCATATCAAGGCACGTTTGAGCTATTGTTTAACCATTTGCAAAGTATGCCAAATGCTGCTAAAACATATTACCCTTAAAAGGAAATAAATACCGCGCCTTTTAGCTGCCTCAGATATGACCTTAGCTTCGTTCGAAAATCAAACAATAAAACATTTGTTATTTTTACCTAGCACATATAATCCAGGTTTTGCTACACAATTTTCTTTTTACGAGCCTCGTTGATTGTGTCATTATTCATTAAAGGCAGATTGCATATTGGTAGTTATTCCTGAATGGAGTTTACGTGGTTTGAAAATGCCTCGATAGTCGTCACTCTGGGCACTTCTCATTAAAACACAAGTTGACCTGCCCCCAGGCTGATAAAAGGTTTGACATCCAAATGCGAAATATTAGGCCACTTTTTAGGTGTCAACATATCAGCAATCCATCTAAAAAATCTGGTCTTAGGATCATTACATTTATCAAGTACATTTTGTGCGAAAATTGTACAAATTTTGCATTGTTTATTTATTGACACGTAGGTAAGGTATAAGTCGCAGTGAAAATTGCACTAGAATTAGCATCTACACCTTTCTCTGCATTTGCGCTTCTGCGTTTATTTAACTGGCCTAAACTTAGTATTTATAATTAAAATAAAACGTTGTTTAGTCAGCGCACTCAGACGCAAATATTTTCACCGTAAATTTAGGCATATTTGGTTGTATTAACTATGTGCAGTACTTCGGATCATGTCTACCTAGTACGTGTACAAAATTACTGGAAGAAAGGTGTGCTATTGCAGCCACATGTGATTCGCAAATAGATGAAAGGCATAGGGGTTCCTTTTACAACTACGTCGTAATGGAGATTACTTGGTTTCACAGTCTCCTGAAAGATGAACAAAGGATGCTTAACGGATGCACTCACCTCGGCGTTATAACCATTTACTTTGATAGAGATTGCTAGAATTACCTACTCATCGTTCGAAAGTAGGACGCAATTGATAAATTGGGGGAGTGACAAGCCGGCATAATGTTGTTGTGACTTATCAGATCCGATTAATTTGCTGTTTGACCAGAGAAATATTTCCGCATTGTAGCGGTTTGACATGTGGACAAGAGTCATTGGTTGGATACATGGATCTTAGATCATATGTGGATGGAAATATAGCCATGACAAGATAATGCAACTTTTGCGAATATGAGGGATAGTATGCACCCTTGTACCATTCGACAGTGTGCACTTCACTCTATTCATTTTTCTCACCACCCATCTCTACCTCATCTGTCACCTCAGCCCTCCTGTGAATAAAACGAGCGCCTACTAACCTGTCGTGAATTGGTCTTGGTGACCTTCAAAACATTGGAAATGAAACAGAGTGGTGGGGAGACTTAAGGTCACAAATTCTCACACGTAGGGTTGGCAATTAAACGTGAATGACACAATACGAACTTGGCATTAAAGGAAGAACTGGTGATGACAAATTGTGACGGCCAAGCCCAGAAAATTCTAAATCTTAATTAAGGTTTTGTATTGCGGCATTCCCTTCCATGGTCTCAGAGGCGAAGCCATCACCACAATCGAAAAGGTTTATTGGACCACTTAATGACTCTGCAGTACAGGTGCTAGACGCAGACGGAGAGGAGGACACAGCGGTTAATCTGGCGTTCTAGTCACCTGAACTTTTAGTCCAGGACAAATGCACGTAATTTCTGGAAGAATTGCTAAGTCGTAGTTTTAGGATCAAAAAAACCGGACTGATGCAAGTTAATTTTACTATCTAAATTATCTTTATCTTCCACCTTTAGATTCCGATTTTTAGGCTGATAGGATTGGCCAGATGGAGACATTTCAAGTTGCATAGTATGGATTGGGTTGTCTACAAAATACCGACGTTTTACCTGAGACCGGTGTCCGTTTTCTCCTTGTGAATCGGCGAAGAATCCCTCGATCAACAAGCATTATTTGTTGAAAATGATGTAATGCTTAAAATTCGAATTTTACAAGTAGTAAATGTTTGAGGTGTAGTCCAATTTTATATTCACTTTGCAGATTGACGGTGTTGCTTGTCAGCTGGATGGAGGCCTCTAACTCGACAAAAGTGTGGCAGTGTTGTAGAGCTTTTGTTTTTTACTTGCTTGAGGTTGAATTCTTCCATCCTCTTAATCGGGTAAACAGTGGATAAATGAATCGGGACAGCTGTCCTCTTCCCAACCTATAAGTCGGCATGGGATGATACGCCAGATGCATTCTTGCTTGACCATAAGACAGTGGGGACTGTATAGCCGGCCTCTGATTGTTTCGGTTAACCGTCGGTATAATAACAGATTTGTCTTGGCCTTCGCCTTTAGGCGGTTAGCGGTAAGCTGGAAGCACATGCATGCTGAATGTGGGCCACGCAGTAGAAAAAGAAGTGGAAACCTCTCTGAATAAATGAGTGAGTGAGGACAGGGATATTTTGCTTGCACAACATTTGCAAGATAGAATCATCACTTTGGACAATGTGGTACCGTTTCCTTTCTCAAAAGCGCACTGCGTCCCATCGTCGTGACTGTGCCGCACGGACGGTCATCGCATTCCATCACGATTTCGAAGGAACTGTCTTGCTAAAATGCTCTTTTTTGACATGGTCCAACTAGTGGATTTTCGAATATTGTATGTAGAAGAGGCGATGAAGTCTACTTTCGGCTTCGAGAATGAAGCTTGCTATTGTGAAGAACAGAAGGCTGAATTTGAATGCGATTTGGTGGAGGTGTCAAGACGCGACTCAATATGGACACGACGAATGAACAGGAAGTCAAGATCTCCTACCGCTTGTGTCAAGTCATTACATTTCCCTTATGCAAGGACACCATTCAAAAGTGCTTCAACAACTTATGGGTCGGCTTATTGCTTCTCTTCTGCCTGTTTAATCGGATGAAAGAAGACACAAAAGTCCACGATGCAGCACTTGCATTTATTGAATGACTAACTGAGGAGGTAGTCATTGCGACATGCAAAGGGATGCAAGGGCGCAGTTTCCAGTCGTCATTAGTTCTGACAAATAGGAAAATAAGCAATAAAATGAAGGAATTGTGCACACGGATGTGAAATCGCCCATATGGAAGTTGGTGAACTTTATCATACTGATAGATTGGATGAACTTTGCAGCCTACATGGACCACATGAATAGGAAGGCATTTAGCCACCATGTCTACCCGGTTAGTTGCCCTAAGTGAGGACACTTCTTAAGTAGTCTGTGGGAGGTGGGGGTCATGCTACTGTCCCGCATGCGTACGCCGCACCATTTTTCTACCCGTCTAAATGACTAAAGGAGTGACACATTAATTGGTCGACTCCTCCACCTTTCCCTTCCCTACGTGTCGACTGTTTCACTGTTTAACTGATTAACAATAAATTCATAATGCTTCGGGGCAAGGAAGACTGATCCCAGAGCCTAATCGCAAGCCTATCTAACCTTTCCATATTGGCAGCCTCAACAAATCGCCTCCAATATTGTCTCTGTCAGTTTACTTTTGT